CTTCCTTCCTTCCTTCCTTCCTTCCTTCCTTCCTTCCTTCCTTCCTTCCTTCCTTCCTTCCTTCCTTCCTTTTTTTGGCAGTTGTGGGCCTGGGAGCTGTCCCTGAGCTCTTCAGCTCAAGGCTAGTGCTCTACCACTTGAGCCACAGAACCACTTCTGGTTTTCTGAATGGTTTATTGGAAATAAGAGTCTCACAGACTTTCCTGCCAGGACTGGCTTTGAACTGCGATCCTCAGATCTCAGCCTCCTGAGTAGCTAGGATTACAGATGTGAGCCACCGGTGCCCAGCATACATTCTTATTTTTCTATAGTTTAATGTCACTGTAGAGTAGGAGAGATGCTTGATACCTTGAGAAACTTAAATTTTGGTTAGTCATTTGTTACTATTAAAATTTAGCCCCTAAATGTTTGTGTCTAGGATATTGTTATGCTCTTTTCCTCTAAATGTCATGATATATAAGATATCTTTCTTTTATTACACTAATTCTTCAAATACTTGCCTGCTGTGCTTTTAGGATCCTAACATCAATCCCAGTTATTACTATGATCTGTCCTCTGGAAGAATATCGACTTTCCTAGCCCAGGCTTTCCTGTACCTAATAATTCATTCTTGATCTCACAAGATAAGTGTTAGAAAGATTGAATTAAAGTCACATAAAAATGATGTGCTAGGGTAGATGTGGTATTTTCCATCAAGAACCAAGTTTCTAAAAGAACTAGTGAGCTGATAGAACTGCTAGAAAGAATTTTAGGTAAATTTAAGAATTCTTCCCTAAAACAGACAAAAGAGCTTTCTAATTTGAAATAGGTACTAATGAAAATAAGAATTTAGTACCTTGTCCAGTAAGTATTTTAATGTGTCACTGAAGCGGTCCATATGTGAGCATAGGGAAGAGATGTTCAGCCAGGATCACAAAGGACATTTCCATCTGACCGAGTCACTAGTTGAATTCCTGAGCTTTGTGAATCTTCTGGGACATTTTATATTTCCAGCTTAAAAGCTAGCCAAAACTTATACAAGTTTCTGCACAAATATTATTTTAAGTCTGGTGACCTAATTTATGACTTGTTTTTGTTTGTCTTACACAATCTTTCTCTATCAGAGGTTTGTTTTGAATATGAAATTGGGAAGTAACTCTGAAGAATTTTCAACATTGTTTTAATGATGTTTTACCAGTGAGAAGATGGACTGTGTCTTGGACAGAGTGGAATATATTTTTGCTCCCTTGAAAAATACATTGTAGGAGCAAAACATACTCATTTCATTTGTTTATCATTACCCTAAGGAAAGCTCTGTACAGAAACATCTTAGCACTGCTTATGAAGAGCTGTGATGTTAAGATGCAGAATAACCCTCCCTGCTGTTACTCAAGGTTATTAAAAAATACAGAATATTTTGGCTTTTCCCCATATAATTTTACAATTATTGTTTCTGATGTGTGTTTACAAATCACATGAGTCATAAATATTCATTCATTGTCTGGTTTCATTCTTTCAAATGAGTAATTAACCAAGGCTTGATGTGCCAGGCATGCATCTATGTCTATACTGCAGTAAGTACATAGATAAACAAGATGATTTGAGGTCATTTTTTTGCCAAGATTATAAAATAGATTAAGTTGAGAAATATAAAAAAACTGGCTTAGGCAAGGTAGGATTGCTTTAGATTATATATAGACCCCTGAGGAGATGACCTTAATGCCAGTAATTGAGAGAGGAGAAAAAGTTGGCCAACCAGGTGATGATCTAAAAACAGAACTTAAGGCAGGGGAAAAGCAGGTGTGGTAACAAGTATGGCAAGTACCGCAAGCTGGAAGGACAGTGGGGCTGAAATGTGGAGAATGAGAACATTCCAGGCATTAAAAATAATTCTCCGGCTGGGAAGGTGGCTCAGTGGTAGAGCCCTTGCCTTGCATGCATTAGGCTCTGGGTTCGATTCCTCAGCACCACATAAGCAAAAAGAAAAAAGCTGGAAGTGGCACTGTAGTTCAAGTGGTAGATTGCTAAGCTTGAGCTGAAGAGCTGAGGGACAGCGCCCAGGCCCAGAGTTCAGTCCCCACGACCGGACCCCCCCAAAAAAAATCTCAACCCTGGAGGTGAGCAACTTAGATCTCCAATCAAATCACATTCAGTTAAAATTAGAAAATGAAGAACCAAGGGCTGGGGACGTTATCTGAAGTGATTGAGGACTCTTCTAGTATATATGCAAGGCTCTGGGTTCAGTCCCCACTACTGCTCCCCCACAGAAGGAAAAGGACGAGGAAGGGAAGATCCAGTGTCCGTTTTCAGCTTGCTCAATAAAGTGCATACCTTCCAGGTGCTGGTGGCTCATGTCTGTAACACTAGGTACCCAAGAGGTTGAGATCTGAGGATCATAGTTTGAAGCCAAAGTCCATGAGACTCTTATCTCTAATAAGCTACTCAGAAAAAAAACAAAAACAAAAAACTAGAAGTAGTGCTGTGGCTCAAGGCTAGCTGTGCACTAGCTTTGAGCAAAAGCTCTGAGACAGCGCTCAGGCACTGAGTTCAAGCCCCAGGACAGGCAAAGTATATACCTGTTTAGTATACATCAAGGCTGGCTATCAATGCAATGTTTTTTTTTCTGCTGAGAGTCAGTGAAGTCCTGGAGAAGGGAGGCAGAGATGGATTGTGTATGTGTAAGAAATAGGGAACGGAAACAGAGTGCCCATATAAAAGCACAAACTGGATCCTGATAATTTGACCTATGATGTACTATTCATAATTTAATGATAAACTTAATAGTTTAGTTCTGTCTATAAAAAAGTTGGCTAAAATTGTTTGGAGATGATGTATCTATTTCTAGTCAAACAAAATTTCTTTTTTTAACTGTAAAAATACTGTACAGAGGGGTTACAATTACATGAGCAAGGTAATGAGTACATTTCTT